CGTCCTCGTTATTCTTTCCCCGTCCCGTCCGTGCCGGTCGTGGAATCGTCGGCGAGACGGCGAGAGCTCGTCGACGGAACGCGGAACGGCCGCGCGACGAGAGTCGTCGGTTCGATGCGCGCGGCCGTTCTCCCGATCTCGACGTCTCGACGTGTCCGACGTGCGAACGACTCCTCTTTTCCCGGTCGAGGATACCGGCCGCTGGCGGGCCGCGGCGACATTCGCGGGACATCCCCGCGCGAACCAGAACCAGAGACGCGAGCCGTCGCCAGAAAATTTCTTCTTTTTCGATGACGCGACTCGTTCGCCCACAGGGCTATTACGGAGTCTACGGCCGATGCCGAGCACCCACGAACGGCTGCGTGTACGTGCGTACACGTGTACCTACACGCGTGGAAACAACCGCGCACCGGGGACCGGGGACCGAGGACCGAGGATCGAGGTTCGGAGATCGGCGACCGACGACCGGCGACCGACGACCGGCGACCGGCGACCGGCCACCGGCCACCGGAGACCGGCGACTGGCGATCGGTGTCCCGGTTTCCAGGAAGAGCTCGAAGGAGCGACGGAGAGGACACCCTCCGTCCCGGGACGGGATCGAAATTCGACGAAGACGGAGGACCCGGGGAGGGAGAGAGCCACCGATTAGATTAGGCCGGGGAAGAAATCGCCGTGGCGAGATTCGTCCGAGAACGGATCCGTCGCGTCGGGGCCCGTTCGAGGCTCTCGAGCGACTCGGTGCGCGACCGAACGCGGATCGTCGACGATCCCGTCGATGTCGACGACCCGGAAACCTCGGTTCCACCAGCGACGTCGGCTAGCGCGACCGCGAACCGTTCCGCGGAACGATATATAATTTGTACGGTGCTTTATTTTCGAATTGCGCGTGATTTAGTGCGCGGCGTGGCACGCGGTAGAACGTCGATATGTAAATGCGTTAATGCTTAATGCGTGTCGGTTGATTTATAGTCGCGCGACCGTGGTTGCGCGAGTGAAAGGCCGAGAAGTCTGCTCGGCAGGCTGAGGCTTCGCCGATTCGAGAAACGCGAATCGCTCGGTGCACCGAGAACGCGTCGACGCGTTTCGACTCGCACCGCGCGCCGTCACAGAGAATCGTAGCGACCCATGGAGAACCGTCGAGGATCGCAGCGAACCACCGTCGTCGTGCCTTCGGAATCGTGAATCGTAATCGATCGAACGGGACACGCGACGAGAAAGGGTGCTCGGAGCGAGGTTCGGTTGCCAGTTGGCCCGCGTCTTTCGATTTTCCGATCGGCGCCACGCTTATCTGCACCGTTACTCAACGAGGATCTTCGGCAAGCCGCGTTTTAACGGTCCCCCTCGGGAAGCTATCGTTCTAGGTACTTTTGCCACCTAGTTCGAATTCCCCGAAACCGTGGAGAAAACGGAAAACGGAAAACGGGAAACGGGAAACGGGAAACGGGAAACGGAAACATGGCCGTCTTCTCGGGAAATTTGCTCGCGAGCGTAACGCGTCTGAACCGGACCGCGCGATCCCCCGATCGGATCCGCGTTCCAACGGAGGGGCTCCGGGAGATCGCTGGAGACAAAAATCGTGGAACAAAAGTTGCGACTAAACAAAACCGGACCGACTCTAATGCGTGTTATGCAGCGACCAACGCAAACGAGTCTCGTTCTTTCCTGGAAGCAGTTGCTCGCTCGTTCGCCGAGATAATTTTGGTCCCGCGACGAGGCTCTTCCGATGCTTCGGCGATGGACCGGCTCCTCGAAGACGCTGGTCGGCCAGCCGGTCGGTCAGCCGACCAGCCGACCAGCCGGCAACCCTCGCGCCTCTCGGCGCCGACGAATCGTTCTTTCGATCCGGAATTTCGCTCACCCTTCGCTCTCGCGCCCCGTTTCTGTCCCGTTTCTACCCCGTTTCTACCCCGTTTCTACCCCGTTTCTACCCCGTTTCTACCCCCTTTTCTCTTTCCTCGTAATATATTATACTTTCGTTCGTACGTCTTCTTCGAGAGCGGAACCATCCAAGTATACTGTACCTTGAACGGCTTCGCCAAGTTCGAAAAACCGCGCCGCCTCGTCATCTTCGTCCGGATTCGGTCCGAATCGCTTCGAGATCCTCGCCGCCACGAATCCAACGGGTTCGAACGTCGCGCTTTCCCAAAGATGTCGCGGAATAGTTGAATATTTATCGAAAACCACTGGGAAAGGTTCGAAACGAGCGAAAACACGGTAATCGATTCATTTTAGCAAGATTTATAGCCTTGGTAGCTGCCCGAAGCCGACCGTTTCGCGCATCTGTTTTACGAGGTAACGTAACCTTCATTTGTGATTCGGAAAGATCATCGTTACGTTTCAAAGTCTATTGCCAAGACATCTCTATGTTTTGCGTTTGATCTTTTTGCCCAGGGCATGTACACGAAGATGTAGTAAAACATTATTTTCGTACTTTTATCATCCAACTTTTATTATGGATTTTCTAGGAAAACTTTCGAAATTGTGCCAATGTATTAAAACTTGGCGCAGACGAATAGGTGCCGTCAGAAAATCTACCAAGTTCCAGCTGCCGATGTATGGAAATAATGGAAATATTTTCACTTGTATACTGCGATACATCGTACTACACGGTGTCGACGCGGACCCGCGATTCACTCGCCAACCAATTCCTTACTTAGTTACTCGTCGAGTCGATTCAATTTCCCATACATTACATTCTCGAACCTATACGCTGATTCTCCGATTTTCCCTTTCGTTTACG